CTATATTAGGCTGCTTTGAATGAATAGTTCACCCACAAATTTAAGTTATGTTGTTATTGTTCTAAACCTGTTTGAGTTTCCTTCTGTTGTTGAATCCAAACGTATATATTTGGAACAATTCTGGTAACCAAACAGTTTCTGTGTCCCCATGACTTCCATAGAATGAAAAAAAAAACACTATTGGAGTCAACAGGGATCAGAAACTTTCTGGTGGTTACAAATATTCTTCAAAATATTTTATTTTATGTTGAGGAGAACAAATAAATTCATACAGGTTCAGAACAACTTGATGACAATATGATGACAGTATTTTAATTTTTGGGTTAACTATATGCCTTTAAAATCTCATCATATAATGCCAGGATCGCATAATAGCCAACTAGTGCACATGCTTTATCTTTAACTATTAACGTTTATTTAAGACACAAATAACTGTGTTGACGAGGAGATAGGCATTTTGACACATAACTATGTGTATTCGAACGTTTAAACACAAGGCGCGAAAAATAACTCTTTTGTTTAGTCAGGCGCTGTAAGAGCAAGTGCGCTCGCGCGTATCAGAAACCGTCTTAACGCGCGCATTTGCCAAAATGAATTCTGCCCCACTGCTTAATGTCCCTGAACAGATAAATTAGTTTTTAAACCACAATGCTTAAAATGCGTTTAAATGAAAAGCTTACATCATGACGCGCAAAATGAATTTCTCAATCCATAAGCGAATATACTAGGCGTATAGAGTTTGTTAAAACACAGAAATAAATATACAGCTATCAAGCCAATCACGGGCCCCCTCCTTGCTCGGGCCCCGGGGCTTCAGCCCGCCTAGCCCAATGGTTAATGCGGCCCTGACCTGGGCTAAGGAGAAGAAGAACTGGACTGTTGCCCAGTGGTCCAAAGTCCTCTTTTCAGATGAGAGCAAGTTTTGTTAAATGAACTTTTCCACGACATTCTAATTTATTGAGATGCACCTGTATACATTAATTTTAAAAGGTCTTTAATGAATTACTACACAAATTCTCAGTCTACTGCCTAGTGAATGAATGTTCATTATCTCTGCTCCAGATATAGAGACCGGATTCCTCCCTTGGCTGATGGAAGAAGTCACCAATACATTAGAAGAAAAAAAAATGTTCCTGCTGTCTAATACATAACATGGGATTGTCTAGTGAGATCCCTTAGGCAATGATAAGAGTATTTTGGGCATAATTTGGACTTCCTGTTCTTCCACAGTGCTCATTCAAGACAGCACTAACCAAAGATTTGAGTCCTTTCAGATGAAAGAATAAAGTCCTACATGTGATTTCCCATTAGAGGTAAACAGGGACAAACATTAAATCACTTTCACACTATAATTTGTAATATAAAATATAATAGAACACATTATCAGTATTGTATGATTTACATTTAAATGTCAGAAAATCTATATAAATACTACTGTTAAATCTGTTTAAATAATATAAGTGTAATTCTTAGTTCAGGTGAAGAGTTAACCTTATAGTCTGTTTCCATTTCAGGTCATACCAGGAAACAAGAAAAAAAAAGGAAAATATTAAGGAGCATGCATTCTTTATAAAAAAATATAAATAAATGTTCCTATTATTATAATTGCATTATTCATATATTATTTGAAGAATATATATATATATATGTGTGTGTGCCCATTGTTATTTTGAAACTGCTAATGTGATGTAAACTGTCACTATACCGTACAAGAACTGCACTTCAAGAACAACACTGTAGGAGGCGCTGCGGATTCTAAAAATACTGCCCTGACCATCACTCAAATTAATCTTAGCCACATTATTGCTGAAATACAGTTGTACTGTTTGGAAAACTTTTGACCGGCACTCGTTAATATTTAGAGTTTATTTAAAATGTGTAGAAGTGTTGTTATAGTATTTTGAGGAGTATTAAGAGTATATTAATTGTCCTCCTTAAATTTGTCACATAGCACAGAGGATCTGTCTTCAAAACGTTTTCCATGATGCTGTACTATAAAGAGATGCTGTTAGTTTTTGTTACGACTTAACTTTATAAACCACATTTTCAGTGGAATAACTATTTCGTTCTTCCGCCTACCTGTCTCGCCTGGTTCTTTGGCTAAACACCGTAAAGGTGAACTGTTTGACGATCCGCTTCAGCTTTCATTCACTTCGCCTATATACTACTCTATTTTAATCCTGCTTCTCCATTGGTCAACTCCCACCTTTGGCCAAGCCCACTAGGTGAATCGGAGTTTCGCTTCCGTCGGTGGTGCAGCTCTGGCAACACAGATAGAAACAGGCGTGTTGATGTAAATATATCGTTAAGGAAAGACCTCTGAGTCACATCACAGTGTAGCCTACTTACTTATTCAGACCTCAACCGACGTAGGCTAAATGTTTGAATGACCTAATTACTATTGTAGATTATTCAAACATATGAGGTTTCATTACAAAATAAACAAGACATAAAAGATGGATGTACTTGGAGACCTTGAATGGGCAAAAGCTCCATCTGACTCAATAAAAGTTTCTATAGAACTCTCTCTCTCTCTCTCTCTCTCTTAGATTAAGCGATAACCTTTAATAATTCAACAGTTTGCAATAGTCATCTGAATGAAAGTGTTGACAGAGGTTTTCCTCATGTTATGCATGAAATTAGCCAGCAAGGTAAGGAATGCCCCATCCGTTTCATATTGAGATTTTCCTGTAGTAGTCATGTAGGCTAATTGACTGTAATAATGGGTCTCTTTAGTGAATCACTGATCAAATAAACTGTTTATCATTCTTGAGGTTGAAGCCAGCGGGAAACACACACGTTTCATTGTTATTTAAATGAAGTAAATATATGTACTGTACGTATAAGTAAGGCCACACTCTCACCTCTCTGTCAGACAAGCACAATCATATTTTATTTGTATAAATAATAATAATAAACTCATTGCTTAATATAAGAAAGGCCCAAAATGCAGATGAAGTTGTATGAGGATCATATTCTCAACAGAGAGCAAGAGCAGAATCAAGTAGCTTAATGATTTTTTTCCCCCCCAGCTGTCTTAAATAGCACATGAAATTAGAGTTTGTAGGGAACTTAGAGCACAGCCCACATTTTTAAATTTGTGCTCAAGTTCAACATGCACAGGTTGGGTAGAGTGAATGTAAAAAGATGAAGGGAAAACTCTGAGCACTTCCAAGTAACTGACTTGCATTGTCAGCAATGTGATATAAATAAACTCAAAAAAAGTGTGTGTGTGTGTGTGTGTGTGTGTGTGTGTGTGTGATGAGCAATGAAGTAAATATATGTACTGTACGTATAAGTAAGGCCACACTCTCACCTCTCTGTCAGACAAGCACAATCATATTTTATTTGTATAAATAATAATAATAAACTCATTGCTTAATATAAGAAAGGCCCAAAATGCAGATGAAGTGGTATGAGGATCATATTCTCAACAGAGAGCAAGAGCAGAATCAAGTAGCTTAATGATTTTTTCCCCCCCAGCTGTCTTAAATAGCACATGAAATTAGAGTTTGTAGGGAACTTAGAGCACAGCCCACATTTTTAAATTTGTGCTCAAGTTCAACATGCACAGGTTGGGTAGAGTGAATGTAAAAAGATGAAGGGAAAACTCTGAGCACTTCCAAGTAACTGACTTGCATTGTCAGCAATGTGATATAAATAAACTCAAAAAAAGTGTGTGTGTGTGTGTGTGTGTGTGTGTGTGTGTGTGATGAGCAGATACAGTAATGGCTGTAAAAGAGGCTCATCACACACACACACACACTTTTTTGAGTTAAAAATAGAGCATAATCATCTTATTTAATGTAATGTCTCAAATTCCTAAAACTTTGTTTGTTTGTTTATTTAATTCAGATGTAGGGAAATTAGAGCACAGCCCACATTTTTAAATTTGTGCTCAAGTTCAACATGCACAGGTTGGGTAGAGTGAATGTAAAAAGATGAAGGGAAAACTCTGAGCACTTCCAAGTAACTGACTTGCATTGTCAGCAATGTGATATAAATAAACTCAAAAAAAGTGTGTGTGTGTGTGTGTGTGTGTGTGTGTGTGTGTGATGAGCAGATACAGTAATGGCTGTAAAAGAGGCTCATCACACACACACACACACACACACACACACACTTTTTTGAGTTAAAAATAGAGCATAATCATCTTATTTAATGTAATGTCTCAAATTCCTAAAACTTTGTTTGCTTGTTTATTTAATTCAGATTCTTGAACTTGCTCTTAGCACTGTGTATAGGTTCCTGGCAAGAGTGTAAACATAAATATATATGATGTGTGATGTGTTTGTTCACTCGTCAAATGGCTTAATGCCAAATGTGTTTTAAATCAGTAGTTTCTTCAAAGCATGGGCACAGCATTATGTTGCAAATCAATGCTTAAACCAGCAAAACAATACCTTCACAATATATTTAATTTCCCTAAAAAGGACTAGGCCTATATTTGGCTAAAAATATATATTTTAGAGGATGTGATGTCAATAATATTCCCACCTATCTATTGCTCAGTTCCTCTGTCACACTTTCACTTTACTGACAGATAAATAGATCCAAACGCCTGTACCTTTCTTCCAACACTGTTTTTATTTTTAATCTTTCTTTTTCCTTCTTTTTTTTTCTTTCTGTTCTACACAGTGTTGGAATTAAAGTTTGCATGGAAATAATGCCTTCAAATGCAATAAAGAATATATTACAACCAATCAAAATATGTTTACAGTCAATCATATTCATTGATACAAATGTGAGACCTGAGTTTATATCCAACTACTACAACTACAACAAAAGCACACTATCGTACTTGAACACTGCCACTCTGTTTTTTTTACACACTTTATACTATTTCTGAATGTTGCACGTCCGTTAGTTTGCAAGGAACCGGCTCCTATTTTACTTAAATACTGTACATTATTCTGTCTTTGCATTAATTTTTCAAGTGAACTTATGTCAGTCAGCTTGCATGATGTTAAAGGCTTTAAGCCACTTGAGCAGGGCGCCTTATTGATCGTATCCGCCGTTTGTGGGCGTCGCGCCGCAGCGTGTCTGCAACAGGAACTGGAGCCGCTGTCATTCAGCTGAGCGCACAAAGGTGAGCGCACAGTCAGCCATATTCCCACCGCCGGACTCATTTCCTCGGAGGGAGGGGAATCTTCTGCCGAAGCAGGACTGAATCGATTCACTGGCTCTGGTAAGATTTACTCCGATCGACGAAAGACCACGACACAGTCACTGCGTCTATCATTCATGCGTTTCTCTGTACTGACGCCGCCCAGTTCAAAGAGAAATCTCTACAAACAGGTGTTGCGCTGATTATCGCGGCGGGGTATAGCTTATCTTACTACACAGATGGGGCGTTTTACAATCATGAAAAGGAAAATGACAAGCTTCCCATTTTTATAGGTAGGCTATGACTAACGTTACCAGGTGGGCAATAAAAGCTCTATGCAAATTTATGTTTAGATAGTGAGTGACTACGCATGGGAACTGAGAACGGTTTTCAGTTCCATTTAGTAAAAATATCGTTCGGTTCCGTCAACGGTTGTCAGAAGTGCATTCTTCTGACGGAGCGAATGAATCAACCCAGTTAAATACTCCAACAGTGTTTCACAACGTCAATTTTCAGCTAAACGCGGCATTGTAGTTCGAATCCCGAACGAATGACTCTTATGAGCCAGTTACGTTTAGTGAATCCAAAACACACCTACAGCCTTACAAATGTAACCCAGCTCCCAAGTGAATGATTCGTATGAGCCGGTTCCTTTTGAATGAATCAAAAACATTGGCTACAGTCGGTTCTTTTTTTTTAGTGAATCAGTAAATACAGCGCGAGCCGTGAAATGATTCCCGAATTAATGACTCTCATGAACCGGATCTTTTTAGTGCATCAAAACACACCACACGAAAGTCATATGACACATTACTCAACTGTGTGCTAGGCTATTAATTGTGTCATGTCCGACTCAAAATGTGCCAAAAGGCTCAAGGGCACCTCAGTCGTGGTACCTTCAATACCACGACCGAGGTGCCCTTGAGCAAGGCACCGAACCCCTAACTGCTCCCCGGGCGCCGCAGCATAAATGGCTGCCCACTGCTCCGGGTGTGTGTTCACGGTGTGTGTGTGTTCACTGCTGTGTGTGTGCACTTAGGATGAGTTAAATGCAGAGCACTAATTCCTAATATGGGTCACCATACTTGGCCACATGTCACGTCACAAAACTGATAAGCTGCGTAATATCTATAAAATTACAAGTATTAGTTACTGACTGGTTGTTAGATGCATTTTTTTTCTGTCATTTAATTAATATAGGCTATTTGTATAATGAAAACTTATTGTGTAAGCATACAATTTAAAATGTAATGCAATTTGTTTCTGTTTCGTTTGACCTATAGTCTATTTAAAAGTCAAATTTAAATAAAACATCATCATTTAGAGATAAACAGCTTAGGGAAGCAAATGTGACAAAACATTTTTTAGCCTTTCTGTTAGCCTATTGTTAGTGGGAGTGTTAAAGTTGTTCCTAACTTAGTCTGACTCCATATTTGCCCTCATAGACTTTAATACAAACATTTCCAAACCACCATAAATGTCCAAACTGTATGTTCTTCGGCGTCGTCTCATATAGGCTACCCACAATTAGTTTAACGTTTTCTGTGAATATATGTGAGTATCTCGCATGATTCAGTTACCGCTACATGTAATAACCGAATATTTGACTTCATTCCTATCAAGCTTCGGTCTTTGGGAAACAGAGACTGCAGCAAATATTTGTAGAATGGGGTTGGGACTTTAAATTGAAAGGCGGTGTTACCTCTTTTGGGTGAGGCTGTCACAATCTTGAGTTCCAGTTTTTAATCGTGAATCACATGGAGTGCGTCAGGTTTTATTCTCAGCGATGTTTAAATGACAGACAGACTTGTTCGTGAGTCATTCTCACTAGCGCTGCTCAAACGCGTTTCTCCTCTTTCTGCTTCAGATTGAGGCTCCGTGGAAATACACAATATTCCTTGACAGAAGAGATCTACAACAGGATTCAAAATGCCTAAACCTGTAAGTATTTACTGCGTTTTATTTAATTATTGTTAAAGTGTTTACCCGTTTTATGTATAGAAGGTTCAGTATGATTGTTAAGTGTGTTTTTAACTTCTGTTCAGTGTTTTGAAATATTCAGGAGGATTTCTGGTCTAATAAAAGTTTTGTATCGTGACTTTATATTTTAACTTGAAAGTCTGGTTCTTAATTGCTAAACCATAAATCTTCAAACCATAGTTTCTAAATGTTGAAAAGTTGTCTAAACATTTTAACTTTTAAGTTGTATTAGCCAAATGAGGTCAGTTCTCACTAAGTTACTTCGTTCTTAGAGGCACATTTATTTGTTTCGAGGCAGAGTTTATAGGGTTTATGTTTCATTTGCACCTACTTTTGGCTTGTTTATCCTCAACAACATTGTAGTAGGTTAGTAGTGAGACTGTTTGTTTGACTTTTAATGTTTGAAACAAACTCGGTATTGAATGTTATCTGTGTTTGCTTATAAACACTCTTAAAACAGCAAGTGCAGCCTGAAGCATGTTGTCAGTTTGTTTAAGATGGTAACAGGGTTGTCAGGAAGAATACAGAGGAAATGACATCATGATGCTTTCCTCAGAGCTCATTCCTCATTCATCCTTGGCTCTCAGCACTGTCTACTGAAATGCTGAATAGAGATGCTTGTTTTTGGTGCCATGACCCGTGGTGGATTTGAGTTCAAACGAGTCATTTTTCAAGATTTTTCAGTCATTTAGATGCTTTTAAATTGACATAGGCCAGCAATAAAGTACTAATTATCTGATAAAATTATGTAATTTGTAAGTTAAGTTTTTTTTTGTTTCTACACTGAACCCCCCATAAAGGTATTTTGTGGGTTTCTGTTCTCTGTCTTAATATTTTCCCTCCTGTTTCATAGCATGTTTCAGGTGTGTCTAAAATCGTCACTTTCAGCAGCTGAGGGTGTTTCCTCTTAAATCTTTGTTATCGTTTGTTCTGCTGAATAATTGATGACTAGACAATGCCTGTTACGCCCTTTGGTGATACAGCACAAAAGCTCTTTGTGCTGTAATCAATCCTCATGTTCTCTCGGGCTTTAGCTCAAACCAGCTCAATGAAAGACTAACAGTACCATCCAAATCTGAACTTTAGGCAAAAGGCAGTTCTGAGCAAAGATAAGTTAATGTAACTCAAGACATGCAACCCTTAAGTGTTATTCTTTTTTTGTCCCTACTTTTAAAGTACATGTCATCAAGGCTACATTTCAACATGGGCTCCTTTACCTATATATTTAGCAAAAAATGTAGCAATACATACAATTCACTGCAGTTCCCAGCTGAAATCAACACTAGTGGCATAAAAATGCCAACGCCTTTTAATCCTTTTCACACAAATTATGATTACACTGGCAGATTGTCGATTAGATAAAGACTAATTAGTTAAAGTCGCATTTTCTCAGTTCCTTGCCTTGCAAAAGTGGCACGGTTGCTTAACAAATACATTTTTTTCTGTCACATTTGCTTGTGTTAACACTTTTGGTTAGGATTAGCATTTTAGGATTCAATGTAGGTCTTACATTATTTGCTCAATAGAGCATTAACTGTTTAGCACCACTCACTAGACATTTCATTTCCAAACTGCCGCAATGCATACAACAACCAAAGTAATACATATCACTCACTGAACAATTCACTTTGAAAGTGTTGTGAAATGTGCAAGAAGCAACGTAATATAATTTTACAGAAACGTTGCACTTTTCTTTTTTTTTTTCCCAGTGAGCCTGGGTTGCAACATTTGCAGATGATAAGTATAGGTTTTGAATAATTAGATGCTTTCTTTGCTGTTGTTTTGACCCAGCTACTATGTAATTCAGGATCAACTTAAAATAAAGTTAATGGTTTAAGAACTGTAAAAATCTCCTATCTAGATTTCTTTGAGAGTGCAGCATCATGCTAATCGATTGGTCAGAAGCTGACTTGACATGTTGTGTGCAGATCAACAGTAAATGCATGTGTCGGTGATGTTACATATTTCATAAGCAAACAGCTTTTAGTAGTCATTCAGAATTGTAATCACCTTGTAATGTAGATTATTTGGTCTGATGACGCTAATCGGAATCTGAGCTTGGTGACTGTGCTCGATTTCGCCAGTATATTGCAGCCAAAAAAAGTTTGTCGGTCAGCTAAAACCTTTTTGAGAGCAATGCAGAGAAATGGTGAGACTCTATTAAAATGCAGCCTGATGTAGGAGGTGGACCACTGAGAGGATGTTTCTGAAAGAGACCCTTTGTTTTGCCGGGTAAATGGATACCCCACAATCTCCCCCTCTTTGGCGAATTGGATGCCAGTCTTTAAGCTGAACTCTTCACCACTAGATTTCAGATGTACACAGCGGCCCTATGATTCCTTATATATATCAAGATTATGATTATTTATTATTGTTATTATTATTATTTATTAGTGTTTATTTGTAATTGTATATTTGTTTATTTATCCAACCATGAATTTCTGTGTGATTGTGTGCTTACTCTCACAGTGCTGTGTTCAGGAAAGGCTCCAGCAGTCGTCTTTAAGCTTGGTACAGGAAGTTCTTTCCATATAATAATGCTTGTGGCAATGATTATTCACTAGAACTGCTCATAGTCATTCTCTATAAACTGTTATGTTGAGTAGGACTGAGTGAGCAAAAAAGTTATGATGTTTGATCATATTTATAGTGTACATTTATTAATTTAGCACATGCTTTAATCCAAAGCAACTTGAGAATAATACCCAAAAAAATCAATCAATCAAAGTAAGAACAGTAGTAGTGCTTCCATACATTAGAAGAACCAGAGTAAATTTAGCTGTTCTGGTGACGGTTGGGAGTTTGTTTTTCCACTGTCTGTGGAAGTTTTGGGAAATGACCACACTGTGATGGCATTTTCAGGCATGTTGTATTATTATATCAATATTTATGTGCGGTATTTAATGTTAAATAGCTTAAGCTGTTTTTTTCTTTTTTTTTCTTCTACACACAGAAACTGTAATTTCAAATAAAGTTGTCATTGCAAGAAGAATATATTATATTATATGCATTATTATTTTACACACAGAAACTGTAATTTCAAACAAAGTTGTCATTGCAAGAAGAATATTATATTATATTATATTATATATTACTATGACAGCAATTACTGTCTTTCAAATTACATTTTATTTTTTATATTAATTCACCAAGTTCGCTATATGACTTCTTTTCTCCTTTTATATTCCATGGAAGAAATGTGGACTGGTACCATTAAACGATCATAAAAGCAGTCTATGACTTTTATATTTGTTTGGAAAAAATGACAAGTACATTCTTTAAAATTCCCCCTTTTGTATTCCATGGAAGAACGAAAGTCATACAGTGTGAAACAATGTGAGTGTGAGTAAATGATGACAGAATTGTCATTTTGATATGAACCGTTTCTTTGTTTTTGTATTGGTGGAAAGGGTGGAATCTGTGTTGTCTGCTCTGCTTTGGTCTGAACTCTTGTGTGAGTTTCTGTTTTGATAGTTATGAAATTTCATAGTGGGCCATTTGTTTTAAAGCAGTTACATAATTAGAAATGATTATTCTTTCTTACCAGACAACAGACTTCTGTCTTCTTTCTCTGGATGAGAACTACAATGAATACTTTCCAGTATTCAGTAAATAATATATATATATATATATATATTATTATTATTTATTATTTATTTTTTTTGGCTCTCACAAATGATTCCTTGTTCCTTGATTTGAGTCTGTGTTGTCTGTTCACTGTGTTGCCTCTGTTTTATGTTTCTTGGGAAATTGCTTCAAAATGACTCTGTTGTCCCATAAAATGGTGCAAATTTGATTGTAGAGCAGTTTCAGCCTTTTTCTTGTTGACTTAGTCCTTTTAAACATTAACAGTAGAATAGATTGGCATTTCCCCTTTACAAATAGTGGCTGAGGTGCATTGTTCTGTGAAGCCACTCTTGCTGTTTTCCCAGTTTCTTTTAAGCCATGTCTGCTTCAAGAACCACAGTCAGGGTCATCAGCTTGCAAGCATGCTTTTGATTGTCTCATCATTGCAGAATTTTTTATTACCTTTGCTTCTGAAATTGCTTCTATAAAGTGGAAACCATAAAATCCAAAGTTGTAACCATCTTGTAATAGATTACCATTTTCTTCTGAACTGTTTTTGTATTTGGCAACACAAATGTCAACAGTGGTTGCTAATGTAATTTATTTTTCTTTCTTCAGGTAAATGTTCGCGTCACTACGATGGACGCGGAGCTGGAGTTTGCCGTTCAGCCCAGCACAACTGGCAAGCAGCTATTTGACCAGGTCTGCAACAAAACAGCTAGACAAGCAATAGATTAACAAGCATTGGTTAGGGTCGGTGTCCAGTGGTTTCATATAGTTTTCAGAGTGTTAGCTTAAACTTTTAGTGTTTTCTGCCATTTCCCTTAAATTATATTTATTACATGCAAGAAAATGCACTGAAAATATTCTGTCAAAAAAAGATGGCACATTCTGTAATTTTTATTTTCAATTTGTTAAAAAAAAAGTATTTTTCTTTTTTGCCAAAAACACAAAACAGACCTAAAATATGAACATAAACCTTAACATAAAGAGATTAAATAACAGGAACTTTGACTTGGGGGAAAAACTTGTGTGCACATTAAATGACCCAGGTTTCATTTTTTATGTAAGCATTGTCTGATGATTATATATTTTTTCTTTTTTTTTTTTCAAAAGAGCACAGTTGATGAGATACGTGCCCCCACTCTGATGTGTAATGAGATGCATGCAGAAAAATGCAGACTGATTCGCAAATTCTATTCATATTTGCTTTACCTAAATGGGTTCCAGGGATGTCCCTACACTTTATTGTCCCTACACTACACTTTAGATATTTGGCCGAAATTAAAATGTGAAATATATGAAAAAGAGGCAGTTGATTTGACTTAGAAGTTCTGGTTGTGTAACAGTTGTGTACACAATGAATAATTTTAATCCCTCAGTGACATCTTCTCATTCTCTTCCCACAATTCCTTGATCTTAAACAAATCCATGTCCCTCAGCTGAAGCAGAGAGGAAAAAGATTGTAAACAGTTATTCAGAGAAATGTTTTAAGGTAAATCAAGAATTCAAAAGATAAATTTACATTTGGTTTCTTAGTCAAATACTTGTTGCTCAAACGAAAGCAGGAATGCAAAGATAGTACATTGGTTAAACACAAAAAAAGAGCAGGAGGAAAAAATGTTTAAATGTAATCTTATATTGGATTTGAATATAAAATATATGAAACATTAATTTTTAAATAAAGTATTTTCAATGATTTATAATTTTATAAATATGAATTTATATAAATATAAATAATCTTTATTTTTAATAATAGCAACAACCAGTTAAGGACATCACAGAACAAACTCCGACTTCACTGGGCATCCGTCTGTTAGTAGCACCAATGCCTATGACCTAATTTAATTACCGGCTTGGTGACATGGGTTAATCCCCTGCAAATAGAAGGCCCAGAACACAGCGGAAACCTCACAGGAAGCGTTTTTCTTCTTTAAAACAGTATATCCCTTGATGCATGACTCACTGACCATTACACTGATGTGCTCATTGACTGCCACGACTGTGGAAACAGTGAATAAGGGCCGTCCCTCTCTGATCACACTCTAGTTTTCCCATTCGGACCAGAACCCACAGCTGAAGTGGTCTCCACTTGCTCTTAAAGAGCCAGTCATGAACTGTGGATGGCACAATGCATAGATGAGAGGTTTTCACTGAAGCCTCTGGCAGTCCAGCTGTCCATTCTGGCAGGCGCGTGCAAAAAAAAAAAACACTTCAACATCCCATTCTTTTCCAAGTCCAGAGCATTATGTAATGTTCTTATTAAATATATCATAGCAGGGTGTTTAATTTAAATAAAGCTGATGTTACCTAACTTCAGTCTTGAAAACTGGTGCCGTGACCCAGGTCTGGGTGACTCTTGCATTTCTTCTTATTGGGTTGAAGCATACCTACCATATTGTTAAAGCTGGTCATTGGTATTTTTTAATAATAATAATTAAAAAAAAAAAGTATTTTAAATTCTAGGTATTACTCTACTTAGGTTAAATCAATTTTCTCAAATAGCTTTGACAGTGAGGTTAGAGATGCTTATAACCTGTTGAGCTGGTTTACGGCAGTTGTTGTGTCCTTGACACCAGCTTTTTTCTTTTTTTCCTGGGATATCGTATGACTGTGAATGGTCATAAAAAGCAATCAAAGTGCAATAGAAGATCTGATTGGTTAAAGAAAAAAATACTGTTGAAATTTTGTTTTTATCAAACGCAGATCTGTAAAACATTTGTCATGAGTTGGATTCTGTTTAGATTTTCTACCATAATTTGTCCCCTAACTGAAGTGTTCTTCAGTTATGTTCACACAGACGAGAAATACTGTTGTCGGTCCTGTTTGGAGAGCTAAATATTGTTTTGTTTATATAAACACTTTGGTTGGTTACTAGACTGACAAGCTCATTTTATAACCAACAGGAAGACTAATCTAAAAGCATCACACTTGGAAACTAATTGTCTGTCATGTCTGATTGGCATGCGTATGTGCACGTGCTTCAATCAAACTTAAAAAAAACTAACTGAACAGGAAGAAGAAGAAAAAAAAAAAAAACAGGACCCAGAGCATTTGAGACATGAAAGCATCTGGAGAAAATGCAACCTATTAGTATATTTGCACCTAACATTTCCTGCAGTGCAGTTTTGTGTTTCAGAAAGCTACAATTGGCACACATCCTGTTATTTATTAATTTTCGGTGGTTATGCCTACTGAATGTGTGACACTTACTAGATCAGTATATGTTTTATTGTATAAATTGTTTCGTAGTATCACGTAAAGAGGACAGGAGCACCATAGCTCAGTATGTTAGCTAACCATTGGGTTGTGATTCTAACAATAGCTCTTAATCTCTATAAAGTTTTAATGTTAAAATGTACCTCAATTTGTGTCAGATTAGTTGTATGCCATGTTTCAAATGTACACTACCATTCAGAAGTTTGGGGTCAGTGATTTTCTTAATTATAAATGGCATTTTAATGAATATTAAAATAGACAACAGTTATTTTAAATTGTAATAATATTTCACAATTTTGTATCTCATAAGAGCATAAAAAAAAACTTTTGAACAGTGGTGTAAATATAAAAAAAAAACAATATTTTTTGCATGCTTTTGAGATGTCAAACTAAACTCCAGTTGGACCAGCAGGGGATGGCCACTGCATGAGAGCTGCAACATTTGCCAAAACTGTAATAAATACCATCGTGCACAAAGCCTCTGGGGAAATTGTGTACGTGCATGTAGACTCATTGAAATCTAAAGTTTTCCCTTCAGGGCCTCTGGTGCTCATCACCCTCCACCCCTGCAAAAGCTAATGAATGTGATTGAGCTAATGATCTATAGTACTTGATGATGGGAAGAAGGCCAAAATATGTATATTCAGTATTTACTGTGGTATATTCTTTCAATATGGCATTTATTCAGTTTTCATGGAAATGTAACCCTGTGCTCTGTTGTATTTCAAAGCACTAAGAGTCGCAAAGCAGTCAGCAACAGCTTAATAATTCGTTCATCTATTTATTGTGTGCTAAAAGGTGTCTTTTTTTCCCTAACAGGTGGTGAAGACCATCGGGTTACGTGAAATATGGTACTTCGGACTACAGTGTATGGACAGCAAAGGGTACCTTACATGGCTGAAACTTGATAAAAAGGTAATTGTGCATTTAGCAAAATCACAATATTCTGATTTTCTCGAGAGAATGTGTTTTAATGGACCTTAGTAAGGGTTTTCGTTTTCATCCACATAAATACAAAAGTGTCTATCCTAATTACAGTCCAGTACTTTAAGGAAGTACTCTGTCTTCATAAACATATCTGAATAAGTATTTGACATTTTTGATAACATATAGATTATCAAGCATACATTACTCATGCATGACTGTGACAGTCAGTAGGTTGAACATTTGAATTATGTTTCCTCGTTGTTGTCTTTGTACAGCTGATACAATATACTTCACAGGAAAGCGGATTTCCTCATACATGGAAATTACTTACTTTTTGTGAAATTGAATTAAATTTTTCCCCCCCCCGAAATGTTTTAGTCTGTTGATTTTTTAAAATTTTTGTATTCATTATTAGAATAAGGATTAAGCTTTCAAAATGCAAGCATGAGCAACACAGCAGTGTAACTGCAATCGCAGGCCTGCTTAGTCCTTTAATATAAATTGTAAAATGAATATCAGGAATGAACCAGATTTATTATGAACTTTATCGTCATGTAGACTAATTTGAATTACTAATTGATATCGTTTACAATATGAAGAGGATACGTTTACATCCACATGGCAATAAATCTACACCGAAAACCCAAAACTGAACCCAAACCTCAAAGTGTAGCTGTAAACTGTTTAAAGCATCTGTATTTAGTCAGACTTAGACCAGTACTACAAACTGTTATTGATATAGAACTTGAATTGTGCGTAATAAGTTGATATGTGATTTAAGTAAGATTTTATATGACTATGATTTTACTAGCTAGCTATGGTCAATATACAGTGTCATATAAGGACTGTTATTTTAAAAAGGTGTGAAATATTTAAGCAAATGCAGCTCATAAGTGAGATTTTAGCCCACCATAAATCAGGAGCAGTCAAAGAAAAAGGGAGATTTTCAGGAGAAGAAACTTGTTTGGTTTCATTCCACCCTTAAACACTCTCTAAATGAAGAGATGGGAGAGAGAGCACTTCTTTAACCCTTAAACACCCACATTTGATAAAATTGGTTTGTTTAGTGTTGATGGCTGAATGTGCAGTTACTTAATTAAGGAGAAAATAAACTCTGCTCCAACTGTACTCCATTCGGGCTGCCCAATTAATTGAAAAAGCTATTATGTTGATATATGTACTGCATGTTTCAGAGTGAAGCACGGCACTGTGTTCATTTACACACGAGCAGCTCATGATCTGATGTTTTCAGTGTCTCAGAATGGCTCCGCTCACAGTAAATGCTGCTCAGTGTGAACTCCTCTTGGAAGAACGCAACATGGATCAACTGCCTTCCCAAAATTGGAATAAGAAGCTCTTATGAACCAGTCATTGTCAACTAAAGAGAAGCTTTAAGGGCTCTCTGCAGTTTTGCTCCAAAGTAAAAGCTGGCTGGTTTAAAGTTTGAAAATGAACTAAGTAACACACAAAAATAGTGGAATTTTAACTTTATTAACTTTTTATTTTAATAAATGGAATGTTTATTGTATTATTTTAAAGTGAAATATTACAAAGTTTATTTTTGATATTTATGATATTTCTATTTATTGTTATTACAGTCAAATTGATTTTTAATAAACTTTTTATTTTTGCCTAATTGGGCGGCACTACAAACAAGCACAGCAAACCTAGAGCTCTTTTTTTTTTAAATTACAATTTTTTAAATTAGAATAACTGCGATTTTCCATTTCAAAGTTACTTGGGTTAGAAACCCGCTCAGATCGATCCTCAAGTAGGGAAAAAAACTCACAAAAAAAAACTCCTCTCCCCGCAATGCTTCCACACCTGTCATATACTAAACAAACACATACATACAAATAGCGTGGTTTCACTAAATATGAGCACTCTTGCTCTTGGTCCAATCAGATTAAAGGACCAAAACTAACTGGTATATAAATAAAAACATTCACTTATATAATGGTATATTAATTTGATAATGCTATATATATGTAGCCTACAAATATCAACAAATATCTCCTTGGCCTAAATGTACTGAAACGTATTTCGAGTACTAATACATTCATGAGTTGTCAGCAAAAGCTCAGTATGAAATCTTCACACTTTTTTGCAGGTCTCCTCTCAGGATGTGAAGAAGGAGAACCCTCTCCAGTTTAAGTTCCGTGCCAAGTTCTTCCCAGAAGATGTAACCGATGAGTTGATCCAGGATATCACTCAAAAGCTGTTCTTCATGCAAGTAAAAGACGGCATTCTGAGTGATGAAATCTACTGTCCACCAGAGACTGCGGTGCTTCTGGCCTCCTATTCAGTGCAGGCCAAATTTGGTGATTTCAGCAAGGAAGTGCACAGACCTGGATACCTGACCTCAGATCGGCTCCTGCCTCAACGGTGAGACAATAATAGACTGGCTTAACTGGGGCATGTCTTCCTGGAAGTACAGGATTTGGATTCTGCCATCATTACTCCTCAGCACTTGGTTCTGGATAACAGATAAATGTTTAGAAACTTAGAAAATGAGTCTTTGTCCCTCCTGTTGTTTCATTGCAGGGTTCTAGACCAGCACAAGTTGTCACGGGACCAGTGGGAGGAGAGGATTCAGGTGTGGCATGAGGAACATCGTGGAATGCTCAAGTAGGTTGACATCCTCTCAAAAGTTATCGTTATAGTTACAGTATCTTTACAGCTATCGTTCTTGGTGTGAATGGGCCTCAATGCTAAATGTAGGTTTTAAAATGTCAGTAGATGTGGAAATGAGAAACTAACACTTTAATCAATTGGTCAGTCAAGCACATTTATTGACTGAAGCCTAATAATTGACTTTCTTGATATATCAGTCTATAGGCCCTGGTGGTTTGACGATATACAGTATACCATGCAATTATAGACGCCAGTTGGCAAGTCCAATGTAAACTGGAGGTTGTTTATGGTTGCTAACGTCTCAACTTTCCATATTAACATAGAATTCACCTGAAGTGCAATCGCAGGTGTGCCTATATTAGCTGTTTTACATCTAATTTTATCTTTTGGTTCATATTAAAATTGCATATAAAAAGGAAATAATAATTTCAGGGTTATTTTAGTATTATTGATGTGCTATCAGTATTCATTAATATTTTGAAAGTCTTTTTATTTTTTATATTTATATTTTCATTTTAGTTTTAGTTTTAGTTTTAGTAACTATGATTGATTGATTGATTTTTTTTTTTTTTCAATTGAACTTAGTAATTTAAGAGCTTCAACTAACATTTATTTCAGTTAGTTGTACGGACAACATTTTTTTTACGTTTTTAAATCTAATGTTTATATTTTATTTCAGTTTTATTTTAAATTTTCTAAAAAAAAAATTGAAATTAAGTGCTTTTAGTATTTAATTTACTGGATTATGTCATTTTAAGCTATATGCAATATGATTATGTAATATATAAATATTATATAATGTGTAAAACTCTAGTTATGACTACATTGTGATATACTGTTACGTAAGGGATAATGTACATCCAGCCGGTTGTTATCGCAGAATAACCCCCGACAGGGTGATCATGATCTTGTATCACCCTGAAGGGGTTATTCTGTTATAACAACCGGCTGGATGTACATTATACTGCTTATTACATGGCTACTTGCCACATAAGTAAATAAATAGACACAAAATATTGATTTGAGTGGAAATATTTGAATGCAAAGCTTCTGTGAACAAAGCAGTTGCTAGCAAGCGGCAAGTTCAAACTAGACGGTAGGGCTGCACAATTAATCAAATTTTTAATCGCAATTACAATTATGGATGCCACAATTACGTAATTGTTCAAAGCGGCAATTAATCATTCAAAGTCCACTTATGTTATTCTGCACGCTTAAGATATGTTGTTTTCTTTCTACATGTTATCTTAAGGGTTTTTCCATTGTTTTAGTTTTAGTATAACATTATAATACCATTCATATTTTAACTTTTTTATAATTTAAAGAAGAAACCAATCCGACATTGGAGGCTTAATACTATAGAAAAGCACTAAAGGTGTTTCAGTTAGTGTTTTCAACTTGTTTATTTTCATATAAAAATACGGCGTGCAGTTGCATCAAACAATGGTATAAACATCATTCAATGTAAATTGTGATAATCGTAATTAATAATCGCAATTACAATTTCAAGGGAATAATCGACAGTTATGATTTGTCATAATTGTGCAGCCCTACTAGACGGACATTTAAGGGATACAGTGCAGTAATACCACTTATTACACAAAATTTCACCACATAAATAATTATGGCAATAAAACATATTGATTTAAGACAAAAATGTTTTAAAATCTTACCAGTATGTTAGTTATATCTTATAATCCATTACAATGTACAAAACAATCGTGGCAAAATGGTAGCAGCTGCATTTGTATGAAACGAGAGAGCAAGTCCGCGATACCAGGATGACATAAATAACTGTACATATAATATTGAATTTAATTTGAATATTTTATTGGCTAACCAAACGCAAAGCTTCCACCAAGAAAAACAGTTCCTAGCATGCATATAGCGCCGACTTCAGTTACCCGGATGAGCCCGTGTTATCAGCTTTTACCGGTTGTTATTGAGGGATAACAGACCTCGGAATGTCGCGACTGACCAATCAGAATCAAGTATTCCACAGAGCCGTGTAATAACATAAAATAACATATACTATGCTAAAAGATTTTGGTCACATCATCCACCAACCTATTACAAACTGAAAGTGATCATTCTGTTTTATTCACTGTTCTTAGAGAGGATGCAATGCTTGAGTACCTGAAAATTGCTCAGGATCTGGAAATGTATGGGGTGAACTATTTTGACATCAAGAACAAGAAGGGAACACCGCTGTGGCTGGGTGTGGATGCCCTGGGCCTAAATATCTATGAGAAAGAAGACAAGTGAGTTCAGCCTTTCCTTACATTCATTTGACATTATTCACATCTGAACTGCCATTTCAACTTCACTGTGTCTTCAGCGTGTTTTCTCTTCTTTTAAATATGATTTAAGTTCTCTCCCTTTACATTGTGGCAATACCATGGTAAAATAATAGTATTAGATGGTAATACTGTAGATATATATATTACATGTACTGTATGGTTACCATAATACCATGGTAATTTGGCCTGCACATCCATCATCTTCTCTTAATTTACACCAATCTGTGAAATTTAAGCTATTAAGGAATAGGTTTTGGGATTTTTTTTTCAATGACATGTTGTGATTTAGTTTGACTTGAGGACATTGTTCTTGGAACACGGTGCTCTTCTATCCACGAACAGAGATCTCTCTGTGTGTGTGTGTGTGTGTGTGTGTGTGTGTGTGTGTGTGTGTGTGTGCGTAAGTGCAGTGGCGGCTAATGGCTTTTTCCCCACATTGCCCTCTATTTTAACCATAGCAACAAAGACTGGTTTTTCAAGTTGTGCAGTCCTTGAAAACGTTGGGTGCGGATTGTGAATGTGACTGAGAGAAGGCACCGCAAGTACTTGCATGTAAAGATAAGAAAACCATGTTGCACGACAACCCGTGAAATAGTTCACATTCATTGGATCTTTGCTTGTGTTGTTGTGTTAGCTGTGCTCTTTCAGCTTCAAGGTATCTGCTGAGTGGCCCATATCCTTCACATTTGTTTCAGATGAACTGACCTGAACTGACAACGTCAGTCTCCAAACGCATGTAGTCATCGTTTAACAATGATAGCTATGATGAGAAATGATAGAGAATTTAATAGTCAATGACAAAATGCAGTAAAAGGTGTTTTTGTGTACTTTCTCTTTCCATTATCCCCATCAAATGAATGTTAGAACAAATTATTGAAGGAAGAACAAACAAGCTTCTATTAGAATTCTTATGCATTACCATTATTATTATTATATAATTGGGTAACACTTTATTTTACAGTATCTTTGTTGCACATGTTACATGTACTTACTATAGTAATAACATAAGTGATGCAAAATTACAAGCAACGAACTGTAAACCAGACCTTACCCTACAGCAAGTACATGTTGTTAATTAGTATTACTCTGTACTTGTTTGTGTAATTAGAACAAGGACACCAAGGACACCAAAATATAATAATTTATTTTGATTTTAATACAATTTAGCATTTTCCTTCATTTAAAAGGTAGAATAATCGATTAAAAATATTGTATGCCTTGTGTCCACAAGAGGAAAATCTAAGCAAGCACGTTTTAGCAGCTCTATTCCACCTAGACCAAGTCACACAACAGTCTTTCTGGAACTATGTTCCCACAAGAGCCAATCGAAGCCAAGCAAGAGACATTTTATAGACCAAATGTACAAACATTGCACTACGAGGACAAAAACTATGGCCTTTTTAAAATAATATAAATTATATGAAATTGAACAGTCAAGATTGTGTTCAGTGTTGTATTCTATCCCCTCTTCACCAAAATTACCATAGTTGCAAATATAAAACATTCAAATACGGAATCTCAATGGAAAAGTATTTTCAGTTATTATTATTAATAGTAGTAGTAGTAGTAGTAGCAGTACATTAAACAATCATATTAGCTTAAATTGTTTAAATGGTATAACTTTACAATAAGATCATATTAGATAACATTAGTTGCATTACTTAACGTAAACTAACAATGAAAAATACTTCTAAAGCATTTGTTAATCTTAGTTACTATCCATTTCAACATTTACTAATACATTATTAAAATTAAAAGTTGTATCTGCTGTGTCCAGTTTTTTACTAAATTACCTGTTATAGGTCAATAAACTCCCCACTGGAAGGGTTTCAGGACAAGCACGGCGGATACAACTCAAGCCATTTTTAGCTTTTTATTGCGTACACATACACAATAATTATTCGCAAGCAAGGTAGCCTGTATGTTACTGCTACGCTAGCCTATCAGTTAGTTATATGTGACATTTTAGCTTGTCAGTTAACTAATCAGTTAGGATGCTAGGTTATAAACCGGCAAGTGTACCAGTCCTGATCAACAACAGAACGAAAAATGAAAAAAAACGGCGCATGCGCACTGACTAACTACGCATATACAGATACACAATCTGGTGACTAGGAACGACAATAAGACATATCTGTAACCTAGTAGGATTATAACATATATGAAATATAACATAAATGTGCCTGCATTTAGAATAAGATGGTAAATATACACACCTATTTCTTCAAATACCCCAGAACATAATAACAACATCTATCATTTGTAATATACATACGCAAATAATAGTGACACCTGCTGGAAAGTTCTACACCTCCCACTTGGCCTACTGATTCTAAAATCCAAGTAGGCCACCATGACCACAATTCACTTCTAAATATGAAATCCTTTTCATGACCATGCAAATAACATCGCATACTTGGATATGAACGTATTATGTTACAACATGAATAACTATATCTTCAAGGAAGTTTTAATGTCCAAAACAACACACGTTATCCTTGATGACATTACCTCTCAGACGCACGACGGGGTAAATTGGATACTCAAACCCTCGGGAGCCCCCATTGGGTCCTGCGCGGCCGAGCAGAAGTGAGTTGGGAGTGATTACTTCCACGGTCTCATCTTGTACCTGAGCTCTGGCACCGATAGGTCTCTCATTTGACAGATTAGCAGCCAGGTACAGAAGAGTCTGGAATTCCAGCGCTGTCAGATTACATTCCTTGCCAACACTACTTAACGCTCTCTTGAGTACACGAACTGCTGCCTCAGCTGCTCCATTCCGATGGGGAGAGTCCGCCGGGTGAAACACCCACGTCCAGTCGGTTCCTCTAACTACCGCTTTCTTCTGGACCTGATCCTTGTCGATGTTACTTAGGAACTCATAAAGCTCCTGTAATACTGGTCTGGCGCCCACAAAGTTGGTCCCTTGGTCCGACCAGAGCTTTCTTGGGTGACCCCTGAGAGCTGTGAAGCGCTGGTACGCTTTCAGGAATCCTCCCGTCGACAGATCTTCCACAATGTCAGCATGTACTGCTCTTGAAGCCATACAGCTGAACACCACACCCCAGATTTTCATCTTCGTTCTTCGTCTTACAGTATCTTTAACAACATAGGGACCGAAAAGGTCTAACGTCGTAAACTCGAATGGTGCGGCTGGGTTAGTCCGTTCAATGGGAAGTTCACCCATCACCTGTTTGCACAATCTCGCTTTGATCTTCCTACAATGCATGCAAAAATCAACGACATTTCTGGCAATCCTTGAACCCATCACCACCCATGCTTTAGATCTCACATGGAGGTGTGTGCCAGCAACCCCTTCGTGGATAGCTTCATGGGCCTCTCTCGTGAGAAGAGTGCTGATCCACGCCTTGTAGGGAACTAAGGGTACACCAATATCTTCCTGAGTCAAAGCCTGGATTCTACCATGACATCTTAGGAGCCCTGAAGCCTCATCCCTGCTGACAACGAGTCTGTTTAGCGTCGTCACAGGAAACGTAACTCCATTCTGGGCGGCTAAGCACAGGTCTTGGAATGCAGCTTTGCTTTCCTTTACTGTCAATACGGCCTCCCACTTTGCTGGCTTGGAGGCCCTGCCTACACGGGCCAACCACTTCTTTACAGCTCTGCGGACATAACCAACTACTCCACAAAGTCTAGTAAGAGAACTGCACCTTGTCGGATCCACTTGGTCTATGAGCGCGGCTCCCCACAGAGTCTCCTTCTCCTTAGTCTCAGTTAAGGTCAATTTCATCCCATTTTCTGAGGACACTGAAGCCCCGCTAACTCCATCTGTGACTATTGGATCTTCACCACCAGGGCTGCCAGGATTTAACAATTTCTTGGCTTGAACTCTGGTAAGGACTGCTGAAAAGGCCTTTTTCTGGAGTCTTATTTACCACCTCCCTAGCATCAGTTGACACTTCTGAAGCAGACTTTATGAGCCAGTTCTCGACTGGACTAGATAGAAACTCGGGACCTTTCTGCCACACAGAATCCTCACCCAACAGTTCAGGAGAGCACCCTCTCGTGACTAGATCAGCGACGTTGACCTCGCCTGGTATCCACCACCAGTTAGTTACAGCTCCAGCCTTCTGAATCTCCCCGATTCGGTTCGCAAAGAATGTCTGGAACCCGTAGCTCTCTCTCTGGATGGCTCCAAGCACCGCCTGACTGTCAATGAAATGATATCACTTCTCCACATCCAATCGTCCATGCTTCAACACGTATCCCTTCAGACGTGTGGCAAAGACAGCTCCACATACCTCAGCCTTGACTGCGTCACCTTTCTGGTTGAGAGGAGTTAACTTGGCCTTCGACTCTACCAGCCGAGTGACCACACCATCTGATGTCTCCCATCGCAAGTACAGCACTGCGCCATAGGACTCACAACTCCCATCAGAAAACGTGATTCCCCAGGGTCTACCCTTCCAGCCAGAAGGCGTAAGGCTTCTGTAGAACTTGATGCTACTCAGACGAGCGTACTCTTTGAACAACTCAATTGCCTTTCTTCTGAGCTCGTCAGACAGAGGTTCATCCCAGGTATCTTTAGTAAGCTTACCAGCTTCCTGGAAGGCTCTTCTCACAAGGATTACTCCTTTCTGTTTCACAGGAGTTACTAAACCGATCGGGTCATACAGTCCAGCGACTTGGCTCAGTAGAACACGACGAGTAAGTGGGTTTGGTGTTTTTACTTCCACTTCTTCTTCAGTGAGGTCAATCTCAGTTCTCATCTTCTTCTTCCTACTGGAGAAGTTGATAGAGACCATCTCAAAGAGTTTGTCCTCTTGCACGAGGTAACCAACCCCCAGGGCTTTGTTATCTTCCTCCCTTAACTGGTTAGGCAACGTCAGAGTCACTGGCTTGGACTCTGTCCCGTCTCTCCTCCCACTTTGACCAGACCGGATCCAAGGCTTGAGGTAGAAGCCACCTGCTTTTAGTATTTTCTCCACTCCCTCTTGAAT